TGATAATGATGATGAGGGTGTCCCGATGATGATGATGATGATGTTGTTGATGATGTTGTTCATGATGATGACCATGAGATGATGTTGGTGATGATGATGATGGTGGTGGTGTCCCGATGCGGATGATGATGAGGATGGTGTCCCGATGATGATGTTGATGATGCTGATGATGGTGACGAGGATGGTGTCCCGATGATGATGACGATGATGGTGATCATGATGATGTCGATGATGATGGTGATGAGGTGATGATGATGCTGATGATGATGATGCTGATGATGATGATGATGATGGTGATGATGATGATGATGATGATGATGATGGTGATGATGATTGTGTCCCGATGATGATGTTGATGACGTTGATGACGATGATGTTGGTGATGTTGATGACGTTGATGGTGAGATCGATTGTGATATCGATAGTGAGATCGATAGTGAGACCGAAAGTGAGATCGATTGCGAGATCGATAGGGAGACCGATCGTGAGATCGATTGTGAGATCGATAGTCAGATCGATTGCGAGATCGATCGCATGAACTAGATCGAGTGATATCGATTGTGAGATCGATCGGGCGAGACCGATTGTGATATCGATAGTGAGATCGATCGTGAGACCGATCGAGTGAGACGTTGGCTCCTCCCACCCACCCCCCAACCTCCTTATCACCCGAAGGGTGGTCGTATAGGTTATGTTGTGAGTATGATGGTGATGGTGAATAGTGGATGTGTATGATGATGCTGATGATGACGAAGATGTTGTTGATGATGCTGATGATGATGATGACGATGACGATGACGATGAGCAGATGATGAGGATGCCTCGAGCGGCTTGCTGGTTTTAGCACTCCTAAGGGGTGGGGGGCGCCAGGGGTATTGCACGGCCTCTGTTCGCGCCTAAATGGTGGGGGTGTCTCAGGTGGTTTGCTCGTGTTGGTCCTGAACGTCCTCCGCTTTCGGAGCAGATTATGAGGATGCCTCTGGCGGCTTGCTGGTTGTCGCACTCCTAAGGGGGGCCAGATTTCGAGGATGTCTCAAGCTGTTCGCGTGTTTTGGTGGTCAGACTCGTTTGTTGTGAAAGCATATTCTGAGGATGTCTATGGCGAGGCGCGGATTTCCGCTCTCCCAGATGGCCCAGATTGCGAGGATGTCCTAGACTTACTTATGCTCAAACTCACTCGTGCACAGGCTCACGCATGCTCAGACTCGCACTCAGCATACTCATATTCAGACTCACTCACACCCAGACTTACGCACACTCAGACTCACCCACACTTAGACCCACCCACCATCAGGCACATTCGTAGTCAGACTCACTCGTACTCATACCCACTCAGGGCCATCTGCACATCCATCATACTCTTACTCAGACGCACTCACATTCAGATTTACTCACGCTCAGAATCACTCACACTCAGACCCACCCACCCTCAGATTCACGCGTAGTCACACTCAACCGTACTCAGACCCATTCAGACTTAGACTCGTACCCACTATACTCAGACTCAGATTCACTGACTTTCACACCCCAGGGGGTGCACACTGCGAGGATGTTCCAGACTCACTTGTGCTCAGACTCGTACTCATACTCATACTCAGACCCACTCACGCCCAGTCCACGCAAACATATGCACATATGGGGAGCTCCACGCAGTGACTACTTATTCTCCGATCGCGCTGGGTCACCCCTCCCCTCCTCCCCCCCTGCACTTGACAATGATGATGATTGTCATGCTGTTGACCAAGGCATGGTGGGAGTGTGATGTGAGTACGGTGGTGATGATGACTGATTGGTGAGTACGATGATGGATGATGATGTTGATGACGCTGCTGGTGATGACGATGAATATGATGGTGATGATGATGATGATGATGCTGATGATGATGATGATGCTGATGATGATGGTGATGATGCTGATGATGGTGATGATGATGATGATGTATATGTTGTTGATGATGGTGCTGATGCGGATGCTGATGGTGATGCTGATGATGATACTGATGAGGATGATGATGCTGCTGATGACGACGGGCATATGACGAATCTGTTTCGATCAGCGTGCGCTCCTAGGGGGGGGGGGGGGGGGGGGGGGGGGGGGGGGCGCCAGGGGTATTGCACGGCCTCCGTTCGCGCCAACAATGGTAGGAATGTCTCAGGCGGTTTGCTTGCTTTGGTCCTCAGCATCCTCCGCTTTCGGAGCAGATTCTGAGGATGTTTCAGGCGGCTCGTTGGTGTTAGCACTCCTAGGGGGGGCGCCAGGGGTATTTCACGGCCTCTGTTCGCGCCCAAATGGTGGGGATGTCTCAGGCGGTTTGCTTGTTTTGGTCCTCAACATCCTCCGCGTTCGGAGCATAGTCTGATGATGTCTCAGGCGAGGCGCTGGTTTTCGCACCCCAGGGGGGCCAGACGTCGAGGATGTCTCAAGCGGTTTGCGTGTGTTGGTGGCCAGATTAGTTTGCCGCCAAAGCAGATTCTGAGGCTGTCTATGGCGAGGCGCGGATTTCCGCACTCCCAGAGGGCCCAGATTACGAGGATGTCCTTGACTTAAGTATGCTCAAACTCACTCGTGCTCATGCTCACTCGTACTCAGACTCGCACTCAGCATACTCGTACTCAGACGCACTCACACCCAGACTTACGCACACTCAGACTCACTCACACTTAGACCCACCCACCCTCAAACTCCTTCGTAGTCAGACTCATTCGTACTCATACCCACTCAGGGCCAGCTTCGTATCCATCATCCTCATACTCAGACGCACTCATATTCAGATTTACTCACGTTCGGAATCACTCACACTCAGACCCACCCACCCTCATATTCACTCGTAGTCAAACTCACTCGTATTCAGACCCATTCAGACTTAGACTCGTACTCGCTATATCCATACTCAGCCGCACTGACTTTCGCACCCCAGGGGGTGCAGATTGCGAGGATGTCCCAGACTCTCTTGTGCTCAGACTCGTATTCAGCATACTCATACTCAGACTCTTTCACACCCAGTCCATGCAAGTATATGCACATATGGGGAGCTCCACGCAGTGAATAATTATTTAGACCGCGCGGAACACAGGAACACAGGAAGGAATGAACACACTTCCCACCCTCAGGTTATCATTCTTCTTCTGGTTCGCTCACATGCAGACTCACTGATATTCATTCCCACTCGTACTCATATGCACTCGCTCTGAGATTACTGATCCTGAGGTTTCTCAGGCTCGGGATCACTCATATACAGGCGCACTCGCACTTCGATCCGCTTCTCACATTCAAGGCTAGTCGCATTTAGGCCACTCACACACACTCACACTCACTCAAACTCACATTCAGACTCACTCATAGCCAGACTCGCTCACCCTAAGACTCACTCATACTCTGCTTCGCTCTTCCTCACTCAGACTCAGCCACGCCGCTTCCGCGCTCAGACTCAACCACACGTTGCGATGATGTCTCAGGCGCGGCGCTGGTTTCAGCACTCCCAAGAGGAGACTCCAGGGGGTCTTGCGCGGGCCCGTGCGCGCCCAGATCGGGGGATGTCTCAGGCGGTTTGCCTGGTTGGGTGCTCAACATCCTTCTCTTTCGGAGCAGTTTCCGAGGATGTCTCAGGCGAGGCGCTGGTTTCAGCATTCCCAATGGTGGACGCCAGGGGGTATTGCACGGGCCCGTTCGCGCCCAGATCGGGTGGATGTCTCAGGCGGCTTGCTTGTTTGGGTGCTCAACCTCCTTCTCTTTCGGAACAGTTTCCGAGGATGTCTCAGGCGAGGCGCTGGTTTCAGCTCCCCCACGGGAAGACGCCAGGGGTATTGCACGGGCCCGTTCGCGCCCAGATCGGGGGGATGTCTCAGGCGGTTTGCGTGTTTGGGTGCTCAACATCTTGTTCTTTCGGAACAGTTTCCGAGGATGTCTCAGGCGAGGCGCTGGTTTCAGCACTCCCAAGGGGGGGCGCCAGGGGGTATTGCACGGGCCCGTTCGCGCCCAGGTTGGGGGGATGTCTCAGGCGGTTTGCTTGTTTGGGTGCTCGACTTCCTGCTCTTTCGGAGCAGTTTCCGAGGATGTCTCAGGCGAGGCGCTGGTTTCAGCACCCCCAAGGGGTGACGCCATGGGTATTGCACGGGCCCGTTCACACCCAGATTGGGGGATGTTTCGGGCGGTTTGCTTGTTTGGGTGTTCAACATCCTTCTCTCGGAGCAGTTTCCGAGGATGTCTCAGGCGAGGCGTTGGTTTCAGCACTCCCTAGTGGGTGGCGCCAGGGGGCACGGGCCCGTTCGCGCCCAGATTGGGGGGATAGCTCAGGCGATTTGCCTGTTTGGGTGCTCGAGTTCCTTTTCTTTCGGAGCAGGATGTCTCAGGCGAAGCGCTGGTTTCAGCACCCCCAAGGGGTGACGCCAGGGGTATTGCACGGGCCCGTTCGCGCCCAAATTGGGGGGGATGTCTCAGGCGGTTTGCCTGTTTGGGTGCTCAACATCCTTCTCTTTCGGAGCAGTTTCCGAGGATGTCTCAGGCGCGGCGCTGGTTTCAGCACTCCCAAGGGGAGACTCCAGGGGGTCTTGCGCGGGCCCGTGCGCGCCCAGATCGGGGGGATGTCTCAGGCGGTTTACCTTTTTGGGTGCTCAACATCCTTCTCTTTCGGAGCAGTTTCCGAGGATGTCTCAGGCGAGGCGCTGGTTTCAGCAATCCCTAGGGGGGGGCGCCAGGGGGTATTGCACGGGCCCGTTCTCGTCTTCACGGATGGATTTTCCTGACATGTGTTCATAGGGAAAGGAGGGGAAAGAGGAGGAGAAAGAGGAGGACAAGGTGGAGGAGGAGGAGGAGGAGGAGGAGGACGGAAGGAGGATGCATTTATTCAAAGTCGTCGTAGTCGTGTGCGTCCCTCTCGGCCTCGTTTTCCTCGTGGATTCGCTGACGCTCGGATATTGAAAAGGACAACGTCTTCTACCGAAGCTTGCCGTCACTATGAGATGCACATCTGGGGATCTCCGCGTCGAGTAATTATTTGTGTGTCCCCTCCGTAACCAGTTTGGCTCAAGCCTTTTAGTCGTGCCATTTGGCAGAATCATGGACATTCCGGCGAGCGCTCGTGTCGAACGTTCATGTCCTTTTGATGGCGCGAGTTGCGTTTTGGTGCGCGTGGCTGACCTTGGGCGAGAGCAACTTCTGGGAATACGTAGCGAACTACGACGAGTTGTTCAGAGCAGATGCATTAGAGTACTTGCGAGAACCAGGGCGATACCCCCCGTCCATAGCGGTGCGACGATTGAGGACATCACAGTCCGAGGGTTGTGTTACAGAGGGGCGACTTCACCAATTCGAGGTGGACGCAGAGATGGGACTGACAAAGTTTGCCAGGAAGATTGTCAATTCAAGCGCGGCAGATTTCACTCTGGTGCCTCACTGCCTGGGCAACCGTATCACTCGATTTTTTGAATATTGTAGGCTCCTGCCGAGCCAGAAGCAATTGAGTCTGCATAAGACAGGTTGCTGGGCTTTTGTGAAAGATAGCCTGGAGCCATCGCTCCGTGCCTGGGTGGGCGAAATCTCGCGAAGAATAGGGCCAGGCGCCGTGGTGGTTTTGAGCTTGACTTCTTCGCGGCTCTTTGCCAAGGCGCTGCAGGGAATCCCTTTCGTCATCGGCTACGCTGGGGCCACGAATTGGCTGGCGCGGCACTTTCCAAGTCTCAGTGCGGGGGTGCCCCCTGACTTCGGTTGCGGCACGGAGCGCACCAGGAGAGCAACCGGCCAGTCATCATGGATGTATCCGCACGTTTGGCCACAGGATGTGGTTGTGCAGTCTCCGTCTCCTTTCGATTATAGGACAGACTGGAGGTCGTCGGCTGAGCGGCCCTTCCTCTTCAGCTTCGTGGGACAGAACACCTCATGCGTGCGGAATCTTATCCTGCGTGCCTGGGGCAAGAGCGTGCGGCCCGACGTGTACGTGGCGGATACGTCCGGGTCTGACCTCAGCTACTCTACAGTGCTGCAACGCTCACAGTACTGTTTGGTCCCTGACGGACACGTGCCCTGGACCTTCCGCTTCCTCGACGTTCTGCACCATGGCTGCGTGCCTGTCGTTGTGAGCGAATCCTGGCATCCCCCGCTGCACAGAATTCTGCACTGGACCGACGCCCAATTTCCAGTACTCTTCGTGCACCCTGCACGCGTCCGCGGTCTCCACGAGCGTCTCGCTATGGAGGAGCCTGCAACGTGGTCCGCGATGCAACGGCAGACGGCCGCTCTGGCTGCTGCGTTAGACATGCGCTCAGACGTCTTCTATGAGCTGCAGTTGGCGGAATTGGTGCTCGCAGTGCGTGATAGGCCCTGACATCGAGACGATCGATGTGCTGACTCGCTCTCTTGTTGGCCGAGGCGAGCTCCACGCACCATCAAATGCAAACCCAGGGCCTCACCGGCATTCTCATAGCGCTTGGCCTGCCCCGTGAATCTTGGACAGCTCAATACGGCTCCCTTCCGGCAAGACTGCCATATTCATTGAATCCCCTCCAGCAAGACTGCCATACTCATTGAATTCGGAAAACAATTATTTGTGTGTCCCCGGGCCCCTTCAGCTTTCCGAGAAGACCTGCCCCGTCCCACTTCCCCCATCGGCGCGCCGCCGAGCCTCCTCCTCCGGCCTCCTCCTCCCCTCCTCGGCTGGGTAGGGGCGCCGCGTAAGCGACGAGGCCGACCAGCAGGCCGACGTCTCGCGGCGCATGGCCGCGTTCGAGCAGGCCGACCGCCGCTTCAAGGAGAGCGCGCCCTCGCCCGTCGCCCGTGCCGCGCGTGCACTGCAGAGGGCTCTCTTCGATGACATAAGGACCAAATTGGGCCCAGGGAGGGCTCTGGTTTCGGGCCGTTCCTTAGATCCAGGACATACAACCTATGTGTGGCCGAGGTTCGCCGTAGCCAGGAACGCCTACACCTTCTTTATACTGCGTTCCTCAATGGAGCACGTTGCCTGTAGTGACTGAGAGATCGTAAGATGAATGTCTCGTTTCTGTAAGTGCTTATCGAAGACGCCTACGGCGAATCATTGTCGCCTCCTGCTTTTGAGGATGCGCCTCTGTGGCTAAACGTTGGGGCAAACTTTGGCTAAGCTATTGGACCATGTGCTCCTCCAGTCGTTGTGGAAATCCTTCGGGGAACACGTGGGGTAGGAAGAGGAGGATGAGGAGAGGTAGGAAAAAGGAGGTGGAGGAGGAGGAGGAGGAGGAGGGGGTGAGGAGGAGGAGGTGGAGGAGGAGGAGGAGGAGGAGGAGGAGGAGAAGGACGAGGAAATCTCGCGGGAGCCTCCAGGGTCATTTTTGGGGCCTCCTGTGAGCTTCTTGGAAGCTTTGAGGCCTCTTGGGGGCCTCCTCCAGCCGCTTGGGAGCCTTTGGGGGCTCCGTGGGGGCCTCGTTCGCTGTCTTAGGGTGTTCCTGCCTGGCTCGTCTGACGCTGTCGTAAGCCGTCTTGAGGATTTTCTGGGCCGTCTTGGGGCCCTTTGGGATACTTCAGGGCTGTTTTTGATGCCACTTTCGGGCTGTCTTAGGCCGTCGTGGAGGCCTCTTGCGCCGTTTTTGGGCCTTCTTCGGATAGTCCTAGGGGCCTCTTGGGCCGTGATAGGGCCATACCGGAGGCCTCTTGTGCTCTAGGGGCGATCCTGGGGTCCTCTTGGACCGTCTTGAGGCCCCCTTCGGTCGGTCTTCAGGGCCTCTTGGGCCGTCATTGGGCCTCCTTGGAGGCCTCTTGGGCGCTCTTGGGGCGATCTAGGGAGCCTCCTGGGCCGTCTTGGGCCGTTGGAAGGGCACAAAAGCTTCAAACACCTAAGGAAAACACATGAATTTGAACTCTTCGGGCATTCCTGTAGGTCCTCTTGGAAGCCCTGCGGGGCGTCTTGGAGGCCTTTTGGGTGCTTCTTGGGCCGCCCTGGGCCATGTTGAGGCCATCTTAGGCCGTCTTGGGTGCGTCGTGGGCCGTCTTGGAGGTTTCTTTCGGCCATCTTGTGCTCTCTCGGGGCCTTCTCATTGGTAGTCTGGCAGGCTTCTTGGAACCATCTTGGAGGCCATCCTGAGCCACCTTGGCCGTTCTGGAGACGAGTTGACCAAAGATAGGTTGGTCTTGATGAGCTTTCCGGGTGGCCGGCGGGCTGGGCCGCAGCCCCAGCAGGAGTCCTTCAGAAAAGGACTCTTTCTTCCCAGACATCGGGCACGCCGTGCACCCCCTGTGGTCATAAACTACGGGGGGCGGCGGCTCTTGTTGCTCTCCCCGTCCCGCCGCCGTGCCCAGGTCGTAGGTCAGAGGCTTCTTGGATGCATGTTGGAATCCTTTTACAAGGTCTCTTGGACGCCTCTTGGAAGCAGTTTTGGAGCTTCTTGTCAGACGAGGGAAATGTACGATACTGCTACCATTCCCACGTTTTTTCCCTGTTTCGGCCTCCTGGGAGGCCCTCGTCGCCACCGCTGGGTTCGCCTCGAAATCCTGGTCAGAACGCACCCCGGGAGAGGTTCGGGGAGTAGCGGTATCGGTACCTTTTGGATTCCCCATCTTGAGGCCTTTTGGAGGCCTTTTGGGGGCCTTTGGGGGGCCTTCTGGGGCTTCTTGGGGGCTCCAGGAGGAAGTTGTGATGCTCAAGCTGCGTTGTTGGCCCCTGGGCTACATTCATCATGTATTGTCTCACTATGGTTGTAATTGTTTCACTTTCTAGCAATTGTTGGGCGCTTCGGCCCCACCCTGCGGCAACCACGCGGTACATGATGCAGGCCGACATCCAACCTCCGATGGGCTACAACAACGGCTGCCGCTCGAACTATCCTCACAATTTGTTGGGGGATCCCGCTCTCGCCAGGGACGTCCTCGCAATTACTGAGGCGCCACACTCTCGACACTCGGGAGTCTCTATCTCTCTCTTTCTCTCTTTCTCTCTTCCTTTCCCTTTCTCTCTCCCAGGACATCCTGACGATTTGCTCAGGAATTCCGCTCTCGCCTGGCACATCTGGACAAGTTGCTCAAGGATTGCGCCTTCGCGTTGGACCTCACGACAGTTTATTCACCGAGCTCTCGGACAATTGAGGACACGCGCTCTCGCCTGGGACTTCCTCGCCGCCGTCTGTAATGTCCTGCCCGCCCGACCCGCCCATCAGGGTCCGCCCGTTCGACCCGCCCAACCGGGTCTGTCCGCTCGACCCGCCCGTCAGGGCCTGTCCGCCCGAGTTGCCTCTCGGGACTCCAACCCGTTCCGCCCGCCAGGGTCCACACGCTCGACCCCCACGTTTCTACATATACACACATATATATGTATGTATGTATGTATGTATGCATGCATGCATGCATGCATGCATGCATGCATGTATGTATGTATGTATGTATGTATGTATGTATACACATACATACATGCATGCATGCATGCATGCATGCATACATACATACATATACACATACACACATACAGACAGACAGACAGACAGACGGACAGACAGACAGACAGACAGACAGACAGACAGACAGGCAGGCAGGCAGACAGACAGACAGACAGACAGACATCCATGCAGACACACACACACATATACGTGTATGTATGTATGTATGTATGTATGTATGTATGTATGTATGTATGTATGTATATATATGTGTTTATATACACATACACATATGTATATTTATAGATATATACATATATATACATATCTATATGTATATATGTATATATACACACATCCATTGACCGAGGCGGGGGTGCCGACGCGCCATGGGGGCGTCGGGGCGCCAGTGACGCTTCCAGACCGCCCAAGACAGCCCCAACACAGATGAAAAGGGCCTTGAGAGGCCTGCAGGAGGCCTACTATGCGAGAGCCCTCCAGGAGGCTTACTATCGCGGAGTTCTCGTTCTAACACGCCCAAGATGGCCTCCGGATGGCCCGCACTGCCAAAAGGGCCCCAAGAAGCCAAAATCACGGATTTTCGATTCGTTGTTTTGTAGATTCTAGTGTTTCAGCTTTTTACCATCCCGACGCTCCAAACGACCCAAGAGGCCCCCAAGACCCTAGCCGAAGAGGCCTCCAAGAGGGCCCCAAGACGGCCCACGAGGCCCCAAGACAGTGCCTGAGGCGCCCAAGACGGCCCGAGAGGGCCCCAAGACAGTCCCAAGAGAGGCCCAAGAATGGAAATGCGAACCCAACAGCAGAGTCTTCCTTCCTAAGAGCCTAAGAGGCCCAGAGAAGGCCCCAAGAGTCCCCAAGTGTTCCGACGAGGCCCCCATAAGCCTCCCAAGTGGCCCCAAAAGGCCACAAGGAGACGTACAAGGGGCCCCAAGGTTGTCCAACAGTGCCCTCGATGCATCAAAATTGTCTGCAGGAGGCCCCTGCAAGGCTTCCAGATTACCTCAGTGTAGCTTAGGCGCCCTCAAGTCGGGCCTCCACGCAGCCGAGGCAGCCAATGACGGCTTCAGATTGTAGAACATCACCTTCCGATTGCCCGGAGAACCCCGACGAACTTGAGCGCACGCGAAGCGCGCGCGATAGTTCTAGTCAGATGTAGCGCATCGCGAGAGGGATGAAGCACGGGGCAGCGCGGATGGGAACCCCGAGACGTGCATGTGGTGTGCCGAAATATGCGGGGGACTCGTGCGGGCGCTGCCGTTGGGGCCTGTGTTCAGAGCTACGTATGGGGCCACGAGGCGTGCGAGGGGTGTGCCGACATCGTCCGAGGCCGCCATGCGGCCCCTGCCATTGGGGCCTTCGGTGAAGGCCCCTATAGGGCCACGATCCTCGTGAGGGATGAGCCGGCAATGTGCGAGGCCGCCATGCGGACCCTGCCGCTTGGGCCTTCAGTGGATCTCCCTATTGGGCAACGATCCTCGTGAGGGGTGTGCCGAAATCGCCCGAGGCCGCCACGCGAACCCTGCCATTTGGGCCTTCGGCGGGGCTCTCAATGGGGCTACGGGCTTTGTGAGGGGTGTTTTGGGATGGTCCGAGGCCGCCATGCGAACCCTGCCACTTGAGCCTTCGGTGGAGCTCCCTATGCCACGGTCCTCGTGAGCGGTGTGCCGACATGGACATGCGGAGAGCAGAGGCAGGGATGGGCGGAGGGAGGTGGCGGGAGGAGCAGGGCTGAACCTAAACGGGGTTCTGGCGATTTCGTGTGCCGTTTTCGTTTCGACTTCGTTTTGCTGTAGAGGCGGATTGAAGACAAAAGCGAGGGCAAACGAAAACAAAACGAAAACGAAAAACACCGTTTAGGTTCAGCCCTGGGGAGGAGCACGCGGGGCGCTTTCTCTTCAAAACGAGGACCCAACACCACAGGATGGTTGAGAAGAAACGGGGGGGCGAGCCCCGAGGGGGACACTTTAATTAGAAAATGCTGTGATGGGGGATCAGCAGTATTTTTCTTCAGGACAGAGAGCTCAACAACAACAGCGACAACAGGAACAGCAACAACAACAGCAACAACAATAACATCAACAACCTGCACCAGTGAAACCACTTCAGCCACGCACCCAGGGACTTCGAATGACTCGTGTGACCCCCATCACTTCAAATATTCGTCATGGCGGGCGCTTTCTGACCTCACCGCTCGGGAAACA